GACTCATGGTAATCTCTTAACTGTAACCCCCTGTAAAATCAAAATTAAAAAGCAGATCATATACTTCTAATGTACAGTTACTATTCCAGAAGGGAGAAAAGGGATTATATGAAGAAATGCTGGACAAAGCAAGTCTGAAAACCAGCTAGGCAAACTCCAAACTCTTCATCTCCCTGTCTCAAGTCAAATGCTGTTCACATCTCCAACTCGGTTTTGTTGACTGCAGCACACTTCTCTCTCTTGGGCCGGGTCCACACCTAGTCTGCAGCTTTCCTTGGCAGGTATCCCATAGGTGCCAGCTCCAGCATCTTGGAGTTTCTTAGGCAATCCAGGCTTCACCTTCAACAGCTTCTCACAGTGGGCTCTCTGGGCCTCCATGCAGGGACACCGCCCCCCCCCCCCCACACCTGGTCTAAGTAGCGTTCCTTAGCTGTGGAGGGAGATTCCATGACCCCTTTCTCATGTCCATGACTCTACAAGAGCCACACGACCAAAACTGACAAGTCCTGCTTCTTGCTAGGGCTGGGACATAGCCTCCTTGTTCAATTACATTTGCACCAGATTTCTGTTTTTGATACTTTCCTCGAGTACTGAAGCTTTTCTTTAATTCCTTTCCATAAATTGGAAGGTTATTGGGTGGGGTCTTGCCCTAGGGTCACCACTTCCTTTTATTCCATTTATCATCAGGCTTTTCTGGAAACTTTTTTCTATCTCCTTGAGCAAGGGACTTAATTCCATTACACTCCCAGATGTGCCTTTTCTCTTCAAACTGTGCATTCATCTTTTTTTCTTGCTCAGCTTGCTCTTTTTTGTTACGGATCTGCATAAGAGTAGACACTAATAGCCATGAGACAGTCAATACTAGGCAGTCTTGAAATCTCCTCTGCCAAAGCCATTAATCCCCAAACTCTTCAATTTAAATTTGGCTTCAGGAAAATTTTTTTTTGGACAAGGACACAAAGCAGTCACTTTTTTTTTTTGCCAATATATCACAAGAGTGGTCTCTATCTAGGCCACTTATTAATATTCTTTTCTCTGAAACCTCTTGAACTGGATATTTATAATCTGCATTGCTCTCAGGGCCACTAGTCCTACTAGTGGTCACATCCCTACTAGTATGGCCTGTTAAGCACCACTTAAACTTTCATCCTAATCCAAAGTTCCAAAGTCCACATTCTGCCAACAAACAGCATGGTTAGTCTGTGACAGCAATACCCCAGTCTTGGTAAAATTTCTATCATAGTCTGTTCTATTGCTGCGAAGATACACCATGACCAAACCAACTATTATAAGAAAAGAATTTAATTGGGGCTGGCTTACAGTTTCAGAGGTTTTAGTCCATTTTTATCATGGTGGGAAATATGGTGGCATGCAGGCAGACATGGTGCTGGAGAAGTAGTTGGAGAGTTCTACATCTGGACCCACAGGCATCAGGAAGAGACAGACATTGGGACTGTCTTGGACTTTTGAAACCCCAAAGCCCACCCTTAGTGACACACTTCCCCCAACAAAGTTGGACCTCCTAATCCCTCACAAGTACTATCACTCCCTGGTAGCCAGGCATTCAAATATATGAACCTATGGGGGCTATTCTTATTCAAACTAGCACATATATGCTGAAAGGAGTATAGGACAAGCTCTACTATCAAAGTACAGGAAGTTAGTGAAGATGGGGAGCTGCTAGGGTTGAGGGTTGAACATGGATGCAAGGAGACATTAGGGTCTATGAGGTGGGATTGGGTTTTGTGAACATGAGAAGGGGAGAATGTCATGAGCCTCATCACACTGGGCTGCCATATGTCATAAGCCACCTTTTTGGGGTGACTTCTATTGCTATTCTAGCTGGGGCTGATTCTTATGTTCCAGGGTAGGGGCGTGAAGACACCTTTGGGCTGCTCCTAGACTTGGAGAAGCCAAAGTGTGGCTCCACCTTTGCATGATTAAGTCATTTATTTGTGCTTCTTCTGATTTTTTTTTAAAAAAAGATTTATTTATTAGGTATATAGTGTTCTGCCTGCATGACAGAAGAGGGTACCAGACCTCATATAAACCTCATTATAGATGGTTGTGAGCCACCATGTGGTTGCTAGGAATTCTGGCACACAGTGCTCTTAACCTCTGAGCCATCTCTCCGGCCCATCTTCCTCTGACTTTTAATGTAGGCACTGAGGACTGTAAAGGGTTGTAAATGTCCTTCACAGGGCTGCTTTCAGTTGTTGCAGAGTTGTGTTGTGCTGTGTCCATTTTCATTTAGTTTCAGGAAATTTGTTTTGTAGTAAGAAATAAGAAGTAAGTAGTAAGTTATCTAACCTCCATGAGTTTGTGGATTTACTAGAAATTTGTTTGCTGTCACTTTTTAAATTTTATTGCTTTGTGGCATTGTGGGCAGATAGGCTATAAGGGATGATTTTAGTCTTTTTGAATTTGTAAAGATTTGTTTTGTGTCTCAGGATGTGGTCTATTTTAGGGAAGCTTTCTTGTTCTTTGGTGTTTGGGTGAAATATTCTATGGATATCTATAAAGTCTATTTAATGTATGGTATGAATTAATTCTGATGTTTCTCTGTTTATTTTTTGACTATTGAAGTAGGGTATTGGAATTATCTATTATTAATGGATTCCATTTAATCTGTGTCTTTACATCCAGTGGTCCAGCTTTTATGGAGTTGAGTTAATCAGTCTGTTGTGTGTATTGTTTAAAGTTGTAATGTCTTCTTGGTTAATTGTTCCCTTGATTAGAATGAAGTTTTCTCTTATTTTCATTTCTTCTGATTAGTTTTAGTTTGATGTCCATTTTGTCAGATAATAGGATTGCTGCCTGCTTGCTTCCTGGTCCCATTGCTTGGGACATTTTTTCTAGCCTCTCACTTTAAGGTTTGTACCTGTCTTTAAAGCTGAGTTTCTTGTAGAAAACAAAAAGGTGGATTTTTTTTTCTTAGTACTTTTTGTCAGTTTGTTTATTTGGTTTGGAGAGTTGAGACTAATAATATTTACAGTTATTGGAACCCGTGTTGTTTATTGAAGTCATGTTGTTTGTGTTCTCAGTTGAACTTTGTGTTTCAGTAATTACAGCTTCATTTGTTTTCTTCCTACACTCTCTGGGCTGTGATTATTCCCCTCTCCTGTCTTAATAGCTGTTTCCTTGTTTTGTATAGGGTTCTGGATGTGAATTCTTTTAGTCTGTTTGTAGCTTGGTAAGCTTTTCTTTATCCTTCAGCTATGGCAGAAAGTTTGGCTGGTACAGTAGTTTAGGTTGGCAGCTGTGGGGTTTTAGAACTTGTAATATATTCCCCAGGCAGTTCTTGGCTTTCAAAGATTGCATTGAGAAATCAGCTCTTATTCTGATGGGTTTTCCTTAATATATGACATGTGGTTTTCCTCTTGTCCTTTCTTTGTTTTGTAAACTTAGTGTTATGCTGTGGTGACTTCCTGAACTTGTCTATTTAGTGTTTTATGTGCTTCTTGTATCTGTATGAGTGGGTGTGTCTTTCTTTAGTTTGGGGAAGTTTTCTTCGATGATCTTTGTGAAAATCTGGGCTGTACCATTGACCCGAGATTCTTCTCCCTCATTTGTGACTATCCTGAAGGTTTGGTCTTTTCATAGTTATCTTGCATGTTCCTTCCCCCATGCTTTAATTTTTCTTTTATATTCTTTGCTTGTGTGGTAGGTCTTGACTTCTGCTTTATCTTCAAATCCTGATTCTATCTTCTACTTGATCCATTCTACTTGTAAGGCTTTCCATTGAGTTTTCTGGTTGGGATATTGAGTTTTTCAAGTCCATCTTTGTGGTGACTTGAAATGAAAATGACCCATCGCCCTATAGGCTTATGTATTTGAATGCATGTTCTGGAGTTGGTGGAACTGTTTGGGAAGGTTAGGGGGTGTGGCCTTGTTGGAAGAGGTGTGTCACTTGGGTGAACTTCACATTCTTTGATGAAGTTTATGCTTATTCTTTTAAATTCTATGCCTTAGAGTTGATCTAGGCAATTCTCATTGGAGAACATTTCTGGAGGATTGGTGGGCTTGGGGATGTCTGGAATACTGTATTGGTTTTTCATATTTGTATGTTTGTCATGAGACCTGTGCAGGTGGACTTCTTTTGTTAGTTCTGGGTCTAATATGAACGTAACATGCTGGGAAACAGTGCAGAATGGTTGGGTTGGGTGAAGTCAGGTGGCCCCAGAGGGGTGGACTGGTGCACAGCATGTGTGTTCTGGTCCAAGCCTGGAGGTTAGGGGTGGGTTGGGACCAGACCAAGAGGGAGAACTAGATTTGGGCCTGCGCTAGATCTGGGGACTAAGGAAGGCATGTGGAAGGTAGCAGCTGGTACAATCACCAGGGTGAATCCCAGTGCAAGATATCTGGGTCCAGGTTGGGCCTGGAAGTTGGATATAGCGCAGGAGGGATGAAGTCAGGTGGTAGGAGGAGGGTTCTGGGCGGCTGCACAGGTATATGCCCTGGCCAAAGCCTGGAGGTTGGTGGCAGTACAGACAGGGCTGACCAGATGAGGCTGGGTCATTGGATGTGGGACCGAGGCTGGATCTAGGGGTTGGGATATGGTGCCTACTGGAGAAGACTTGGCGGACTCACCCTGCTGTCCCCTGGTGCGAGGTGTGGAGTACTGGGCTGCTTGGTATGAAAATTGTGTCTCTCTTTTGTCAAGTGGCCATTTCCAGCTTTGTTTCCCATTACCACAACTTGTCAGGTGGTTGATCAGCTGTGTGGGCTTAGCTTTCAGTCTTTGGGCAATTTACTGTTGATGTTCAGGCACGGTTTCAGGGGTAGTTCCAGCCCAATACAGGTGAAGTAGGATTCCTAAGCCCAGGAACAGACCTTCTGCAGAGTTATAGATTCTTGTAGTCAGTCGCCAGGAGCCTGGCGGAGGCACTCACGACATCTCCTCAGGCAGTGGGTCCTTAGGGAACTAGCAATGCAGGTGTGGTATCCCTACCCAAAATACTTGGTTTTAAGGATAAAATTGTTACTTCCTTTTCTTTTAGATTTTATCTAAACTTACCATGCCTGCACGTCCCAGGGAGCAAGCAACGAAGCAGAGCTTCGCCTTTGACAATATTGGCTATGAAGGGGGTCTGGACAGCCTCTCCTCATCCCAAACCACTACCAGCGTGGTTAGCATCCTGGGCATGACTTGCCATTCTTGTGTCAAGTCCATCGAGGACAGGATCTCTAGTCTGAAAGGCATTGTGAGCATCAAGGTTTCCCTGGAACAAGGCAGCGCCACTGTCAAACATGTGCCATCAGTCATGAGCCTGCAGCAGATTTGCCTTCAGATCGAGGATATGGGCTTTGAGGCCAGTGCTACAGAAGGAAAGGCTGCCTCTTGGCCATCCAGGTCCTCTGCAGCCGAGGAGGCCGTGGTTAAGCTCCGGGTCGAGGGCATGACCTGTCAGTCTTGTGTCAACTCCATCGAAGGCAAGATCCGGAAGCTACAAGGGGTCGTGAGAATCAAAGTCTCCCTCAGCAACCAGGAGGCTGTTGTCACATATCAACCTTACCTCATTCAACCCGAAGACCTCAGGGACCACATCTGTGATATGGGATTTGAAGCTGCCATCAAGAACAGAACGGCTCCCCTAAGGATGGGACCAATTGATATAGACAAGTTGGAAAGCACTAACCTAAAGAGACCAGCAGTTTCTCCTAACCAGAATTCCAATAACTCTGAGACCCCAGGGCCCCAAGGGAGCCACATGGCCACCCTCCAACTGAGAATAGACGGGATGCACTGTAAGTCCTGCGTTCTGAATATCGAAGGAAACATAGGTCAACTCCCAGGGGTTCAAAGTATTCAAGTGTCCTTGGAGAACAAAGCTGCCCAGATTCAGTACGACCCTTCTTGTATCACCCCCTTGCTCCTACAGAAGGCCATTGAGGCACTGCCACCTGGGCGCTTTAAAGTTTATCTCCCTGACGGAGTAGAGGGGAGTGAGCCCGAGAGCGACCCGCGCCGTACTGCGGTGCTCAGCATCACTGGCATTTCTGGCACGTCGTCTGTTCAGCCCATCGAAGGCACGCTGTCCCAGCGGGAAGGCGTGCAGCGGGTCTCCATCTCTGCGGCCGAAGGGACTGGAACAGTTCTTTATGATCCCTCAATAGTTAGCGCGGATGAACTCCGAGCGGCTGTAGAAGACTTGGGATTAGAGGTGTCAGTGAATTCTGGTATGTCATCCTTACGTGTTTAAAGTGTGTCTGGGGTCCTCTCTCGGTGTCATGACAGTATTTGGGTAGTTGAATAGGTGGGCCCTGTCACTGCCTCACGCATTGGCAGTTATAGCCAGGTTTGCTAACCTTCGCTCATCTGTTAGTAGCAGGACAGTGAAAATACAGTTTCTAGTTCACCTCTCACAGAGCTGACACTCAAATGATAGACTCATGATTTGGGCTTCTTTTCTAGAGAGAATTCTGAGTGTGCACTCTATCAATGAGCACTGTGGGCCTGTTAGACTCTCCTCTTACAGATGGAACAGCTGCTCCTCTCTCTGAAGATTCCTCTCTTACACAAAACAAAATAAAAGCAATAGAACTTTAGTCTTACGGGGCATGATGGCACAGGCTGAGAGACCACCAAAACAAACAGAAAACAAATGCAGGTGGTGTGTGTTCAAGGACCCTCTGGGCTAAGTAGCAAGACTCTGAAAAACCAAATGCCATGCATTGTGGCACATCGTATGCCTGTAACTTCAGACCTTGTGGGGATGCTGGTGGCAGGACGATGAGGGTCAAGGCCTCCCTCAGCTACAGGGCAAGTGCAAGCCTAGTCTCGGCTACATTAGTCCCCATCTCAGAAAACCAAAGTCTCAAAACTTGCAGCAACTAAAGGGTTGTCCATTCAATAGAAATTAAGGGGAGGATTTTTACAATGGCCATTCCTGTGGATGGCTCTTAGATAGAGCCTTTCTGGAAGGGTGTGTGGCAGGGGTCACAGAGAAGGGTTCCCATTCTGAGATGGCTCATTATCAAGTCGAGCTTCCTGAGTAGCAGCCAGCCCTGCTCCTCCTCCCTGCCCTGCTCCTCCTCCCCACCCTGCTCCTCCTCCCCACCCAGTGCTGCAGCATCAGGGCCTGTGCCATCAGGGCCTGTGCTAGCTGTGCGTGCTGCAGGAGAAAGCTCTGTGTACCATGCCATCAGGGCCTGTGCTAGCTGTGCGTGCTGCAGGAGAAAGCTCATCTGAGAGCTTCCTTGTGATAGGAGGCAGCAGAAGGGTTAAACTACTGTTTGGTAGTGGGTACGTTCAGGCTGTGCTGTTTTTCCAGGATGGTGTATGGTGGGAAGTAGGAGATAGTGAAGGAAGGCCCGAGAGTGTTGAAAGTGCTATGGGCAGTGGAGTCAGTGCCATGGGAGGAGCTTTAGGGGAATGAAGAGTGACCTGAGCAGGACCAGAGGCTGCTTCTTGACCCAGCACATCAGGAAGTCAGAGGTCAGTGCTACCAGGTTGGGGTCAGAGTGAGGGCTGTGTATGACGGAAACAGCCCTGGAGGAGAAGCAGGGTACAGGATGAACCCTTCCCTGATGCTGAAGGACAGACTGTGCAGCTGGGGGTGTAAATGGACTTGAAGGAGTGCTGGAGCAAAAGCAAGCGAGCTGAGCTAAGTGGGGTTGAGAACACAGGTAACATTTTCCAGATGACCACTGGAAAGGGCAGCCTCTTACATTAGCTCAAGAGGCCACGGAAGCCAAGTTGAGCAGCTTCTATCACAGTTAACTAGGGAGAAGATCCCAGTCCACTACACACAAGAAAGTGGGAGCCCAACCTTTGTTGGGAGGTTGGGGGGTACTTTCAGTAGACGGGGGCATGCAGAGGGGGGACAGAGGTAGCATGTACCAGAGAGGCCCAAGGTGAGGAAGGACAGGGTACTTGCTCTCTTTTCTCTCCCTCCACCTCTTCTGTCTCCCACTTCCATCCCTTTTCATTATTCAGGCTAGCATCAACTGCCTTGGGCTTAAGCCATCCTGACCACAGTCTGCCGAGAGGGGGGCTATAGCTGGTAGGCATAGTTGCTGAGGGGACAGCTCTGTGAGTGGTGGTGTGCTGTAAAACTCCTTAGTTCCCTGGTCACCGAGCCTTTTGCCTGGAACCTGTTGCTGCTCTTGGTGTGTCTGTGCTGGCCCCTGGGACTACTTCCAGAGCGCCCAGGCAAAGCCCCAGCAGCACCCAGGGCCTCAGGGCTTGTTTCCCATACTCCGTATCCTCTGACCACTGAGCTGAGCTGTGTCCTTGGAAAGGCTGCTCTACTGGGATCCTTTACCAACTCCCCTCTGTACCCCGCCACAGTCCCCACCGCAGCAGGTGTTCTTTGTACCAAGGGTTTTGTTTTCTCACCATGTTCTGTTTTCCACACCCTGGAAAGAATGCGGTGTGTGTGTGCTTAAAACAAAGTCAATAGAGACAAAGACAGAACAGTAAATCTTGTACTCCACAGAAGTATTGAAGAGCCTCCATATAAACTGTTTTGTGTAAGGCTTAATCTTCTAATGGTACAGTCGGGTTATTGGCAGCAAAAGAGAAATGACCATGGAACTACATATTAAAAGTAATTGAACTTGATTGAGCAAACATAGGAAGAAAAGAACTAATTTCTATTAGGTAGAACCATGAGGATTATAGTCACTAAGCCCAAGAGGTGCTTAGAGTATGGGATCTAGTGAATAGAAATCTAAACACTCAGCTGAATTTCAGGTAAGTACCCACTGATTTCTTTTGTATAAATGTATCCGCACGGAAGATATATTTAACACCAGAGAAGATTGACAGTGATCTGAAAGTGAAATTTAGCTGGACATCCTGAATGGAAAGCCTTCGATTAGGGTAAAATGTCAGTGAGCTTGTGAATGTATCCATCCCATGCATGCTGAATTGCTGCCACACCCTAAGGTCAGTGGAGGTTGTTTACCAGATCACAGAAAATCGTAGCGCATCACGACAAACATGGGAGGTTCATTCAGAAGAATAATTTGGAAGCCGTAGATGTTGTCAGCTCAGGTGGTCACTGGTCATCTCGTCTCCTGCACTTGTGGTTTCGAGTAAATGACAGTCTGCCATCCAGTCGCACTATTTCCATTCTGCATACATTTAAGGGTATTTCACATTATCGGATGGAATGGTGAATGTGTTTCAATGTTAGTCTGGATGCTATTTGTCTTGGTCACTGCTCTATTGCTGTGAAGAGACAACATGACCAAGGCAACTCTCACAATAAAAGAAAGTATTTAATTGGGGGCTTGCTTACAGTTTCAGGGGGTTAGTCCATTATCATCATGGCGGGGAGCATAGAGCAGGCAGATAGGCATGGTACTGGAGAGGTAGCTGAGAGCTGCATCCTTCAGTACCGTAACAGACATTATACATGTGATGAAAAGAGTGGATCTGAGGTGGAAGGTGCTGGATTTCCCAAGTGGACCCAGCTGTGTCCCATCATGCAGTAAAAGTGGAGACCCTTTCCTGGCTGGGGCTAGACTGAGACTAGACAGCTGCAGAGACAGTTGGGATTGCTAATTTTGAGTATGGGGAAATGGGGCTGGGAACCTGGGAATGAACAGATTCTCCAGAGGCAGCCCTATACATATATGATCTCCTCAGTCATGTCACCGGAACTCTGGGGAGAAGATGCTCGTCTTTCCAGGCTGTGGAAGAAGATCAGTTTCTTCCCAGCTAGCCCTGGGTTTAGTGAGAGATGCTGCTTCAGTAAATAAGGTGAAGAGTAATCAAAGAAGACACGAGATATCAACCTCTGTCCTCTATGTGTGTGTCTATCCACACATGCATGTGTAGACATGTGGTACCAACCTGCATCCTCCATGTATTTATGCCCACATGTACACCTCCCACATATGGAGATCCGTGATGTCAACCTCTGTCTTCCACAGGCATGGAGAGCCACACACACCCACACTTAAATGTGCACCCACACACATACACGTGTGTGCACACGTCACATGTATGCACAGAGAAATGTTTCTAGGGATTTTAGAGAAAAATTGCGTGGCTATTTTTGCCAAGTTGAGATAGAATCTACTAAAAGAACCAAACATGAACTTTTTTTTTTCTTTACTAAAAGGCGTCATCAGAAGGATGACAACACAAAGCACAGGCTTGGAGGACACATTTGCTTTGCTTGTCACTGACAAAGATAAATGAAAGATACAGGAGGGAGAGACAGTGTTGGGAATAGCAGTCCCCAGCCACTTCTTCAGGAGCTTTAATCTGAATATTGTCACTCTTGACCTCCAGCTGTAACAAGCAGAGTTGCTTCTTGTCTTCTAACTACCTCTCACATTTCATTGTAGAAAACTTTCCTATCAACCGTGTCGGAAACTTCAGCTCTGGGAATTCTGTGCCACATACCATGGGTGGTACACCAGAGTCTACGCAGAACCTGGCTTCCAGTGCTAGAGGGGTCCCCGCAAACCATGATCCTGGCCACTCGTCAGATACCCCACCAGCCCCGGGAACAGCAGCACCGCAGAAGTGCTTTGTAGAGATCAGAGGCATGACTTGTGCGTCCTGTGTGTCTAACATAGAGAGGGGTCTTCAGAGACATGCCGGTAAGAGGCCTGAAACCATGATGAACTTGGACGTCCTTGGTGTCCCTTCTCCATGCACTGTGTTTATCAGTAACCCAGACAATCTGGCAACAAGCCCATCAGATGACAATGTGTATGTTTGTCTAACATCCCTGTATGATTGGCATTCTGTCCCTTAAGAAACACTTATTTTGTCACCAAGTCTGTCTCTGAGTACATTAGCCATACAAGTCAAGGCTGAAAGTCACGGTATGTTCTGTGGAAAGATTCCTTCTCAGTTAGCTTTTCCCAGTATTTCTCCGTCTCCTACCCACATCCGTCCGCCCTTCTTTAGGAAATAAAAAACTAGCCTGGGCTTAAAATTTCTGGTTTCGGATCCTCTGTCCTGTTGATGCTGGAGGCTATAAATTCTGCATCTGCTGGGTTTGTCCTCCAGATGATGTTTATAATATTGCTCCTTCATCCTGAAAGTGCAACAACAATCTTGTTTTTGTTTTTGTTTGGGAATACTTTGGTCCAGACTCTACCTGTTGCTCTGGAGCAGAGCTGACCAGTGCTGTGTGAGACTTTCTGTTCTGACTCCTGGTCCTTCTTCAGGCTTAATTTAGGGTGTCCTGTTTTCCCGGCCTTCTGCTCACTTTTTAAAACTACTGCCTGACAGTGGTGGCACACGCCTTTAATCCCAGTACTCAGGAGTTAGAGGTATGCAGATCTCTGCGAGTTTGAGGCCAGCCTAGTCTTTAAGAGCTAGTTCCAGGGGCTGGAGAGATGGCTCAGTGGTTAAGAGCATTGCCTGCTCTTCCAAAGGTCTTGAGTTCAATTCCCAGCAACCACATGGTGGCTCACAACCATCTGTAAAGAGGTCTGGCGCCCTCTTCTGGCCTTCAGGCATACAGACAGAATATTGTATACATAATAAATAAATAAATAAATAAATAAATATTTAAAAAAAAAAAAAAGAGCTAGTTCCAGGCCAGGCTTCAAAAACTACAAAGAAACACTGTCTCGAAAAACAACAAAACAACACAGAAACACAACAACAACAACAAACTACCGAAGCTCTTGGGTCAGTGTGCTAAATCAGAGTGTGTTGCAGGAGAACCTTTGTCAACTTTGGTCTGGTTGCAGACAAATTAAAATATAATTTCATAGTACCTACGTTTCTGCGCCCGACTTATGTTTTTCTAAAGCATATCGTGCCTTTCATTTGAATGTGACTCTTTCTTCTCCTTAAACTAACACAATAGTATTAGCCAGATGAATTATAGTATTTTCACTTTTGGAAATCCTTAAAAAATTGAGAAGAGTCAATAAACCAATATTTGAAAATTTCTAATTTCCCCCGTGTATGCCAGGAAGGGAAGAAAAATGTGCCCTCTCTGTGACAGTGGTTGTGACCACTGCATCTACACCCCTTCTTTGGTGTGCATGGAACAGTTGGACCTTCTAAAGGCTTGGCATCCCCAGGGGCTGGGTGGGCATTTGGAATCCCACACCCACCAAATCAGAGCCTGATTTAACGAGGTCCTCATATGGCTCATATGCCCTTTAGTGTTTGAGGCGTGTTTTTGGGAACAGTAGCTCTCTATCCTGATTATAATTTAGAACCACCTGAAAAACCTTCTTCAAAGGACATTTGACACTTACCCAGGGAGATACTGAGTTGCCTGGGCTGTGCTAGGAGGCATCAGAGTTGTTCGTGGCTCCCCGGCTGATGCTCATGCCCAGCCAATTTTGAGAGCCACTGCTCTAGTGGATGCTTAGGGAGGTATTTTTCTTGGTTAAGCCATGCTGACAACAGTATCAACCCCGTTGCCATGCCCAGAGTCTCAGCCGTGACCCAATGGTTCCAGGTATTCTCTCTGTGTTGGTTGCCTTGATGTCTGGAAAGGCGGAGGTCAAGTATAATCCAGAGGTCATCCAGCCACCCAGAATAGCTCAGCTTATCCAGGACCTGGGCTTTGGAGCAACTGTCATGGAGGACAACACAGTCTCTGAAGGTGACATCGAACTGATTGTAAGTCCAGTGGCTATCACCTTGAGGTGCAGGTGTGGAGGGTGGAGGGTGAGTTTTTGACAGGTGTTGTCCTTATGCTTGCTGGCTGCTGGGCTGTGTGCTTTGTTTAGTTTGGGAAGGAAGATTGGTTGTGTCAGAGAGGGAGAGGAGTCCATTCTGGTGGGTATACCCAAGGTCAAGAGGGAGAGATGGTGAAGTGTAAGAGTTTAGAGACGAGAAGCACAGATGGCAGGCTGTGGTAAGCATGGTAAAATGGAGGCTCATTGTGGCACAGTCCTTCAAGTCTAAAGCTCAACCTCCCGCAGGTATTTCTAGATAGAAGACCTAAGTCCTTGGAGTAGTGCGCTCCATTCAATGACATATCAAGGGAGATCTTGGCCTCGGTTTCCGTCCTGTTCACCCCAAAATGAAAGAACACAAAGATCGAGAGGACCTGTAGGCATACCAATGTCTTTGAGATGAGTGACGAAGAGTCCTAAAACAGTAGGAGGCGAATTCCTAAGGGAGGGACTGTTCACACAGTGTTTTTCTGTCCATCTGCTATGCTAACTGCATGTCAGCAAGTTATTGAAGAGTATAGTGCTGAGTCCTCTATTCAGAACATGTTTGTAGAAAGTGCTTTTGCATAAACAAAGGGAGATGTAAAAAACTGCCCGCCCCCCAAAATTGAATAATATTGTTTTACTGGGGTGAGTGGGGCCTTTGCTTCCTTGTGTTTTTTCTACCATTAATGGCAAGTAAATGTTTGAAGAAAAGATGGAGGACACGAGGTGCGTTTAGCTCCTGGTAAGTGATATTCCCTAAAGAGCCTACACTTTGTGCCTGTTCCAGGGGCTATGTGCTGAAGGACAGAATTCGTATTTCCTGGCTACAGCAGGCATCACAAGCAGGGTAGGAACCCTGCTGCAGTCCTGTTGGGTTCGTCACCCGTAGTCGATACCTTGGCCCTACTGAGACACTGTGTAGAAAACCAAAATCAAGAGACTCAGGAAATGATAGTGTGCTTAGCATACAGTCCCCAGGACCGGGGTTCGGATCCCCAACACAGATCCAGACAGGCATCGAGGACTTCCTGTAATGCTGGTGCTAAGGAGGCAGACTGTCACCGTGGCTAGAGTAGCTGAGCTGGCACGCTCTGGGTTCAGGGGCATACCGGTCTTGACAAACAAAGTGGACTACAACCCAGGAAGACAGCTGCCATCAGCCCACGCCTTGCGCTTGGACGTGCATATGCATACATACATACATATGCATACAGAAAATAAATAAATACGGCCGGGTGAGAGGAGCTGCTGGCTAAGCATGCTCGCCACCAAGCCTGACACTGGTGTTTGATCCTCAAAACCTACACAGTGAGAGCGGAGAACCGACTCCCAGACCTTATTCTCCGACCTCCACATGTGGGCCTTGAAAAGTGCATTCCCAAATCATAGACACGCACAGGGAAATAAATGAATAGAACTAGGAAAGAGGGGAAACTCGTTTAAACCGCGTACTTCACTCTGGTCTTTCCTTAAGCTAGTCCTTGTGCCCGCTAAACAGGGGCTCACTATGCAGCCATGGTTTCTTTGGACTTTTGTTTACTTTTTAAAACAGGGCCTCATTATTTAATTCTGCCTGGCCTGGAACTTGCTGCGTAGACCAGGATGGCCTCAAACTCACGGAGATCTGCTTGCTTCTGCCTCCCAAGTGCTGGGATTAAAGGTCTGTTCCACTGCATCCATTTGAACGTTTTATATCTACTTATTTGTTTGCACAGGCTAGGCATGTGCTCTGCCTCTGAATTATACCCTAACCTAGAACTTTTTTGCACTTAATTCGTAGTCTAGCCTATCTGGTATGCCTCATTTATATCTGGCAGTGGCATGTCACACTTTAAATCTTTTTTATCTTCAGGGTCACAGGACATAGTGGTATGACAGAGGTGCCATAGTTAAAATTCTTGCCCTGTTGCTGCAGGGACCATTGCTAGTCTGGTATCCAACAACTTGCCTCACTTATGCAGACCGCAGCTGCTCAGAGTAGACACTGGAGCCAAGTTCTCAGGGGCAAGCTTCACTGCCCCTCACTGGTGCGGGACAATGCACAAGTTAGTAGCTTCTCAGCCCTTCAGCTTAGGGAGGGTTCCCTCCTTGGCCTGATAAGACCAATCTAGTGCCCGAGATGGCACCTACCATGTTGCAAGTGTGTAATAAAATTATTACCTCAAAGATGAAAGCGAGCTCAGGTTGAAGTATCTGTCGACTTGTTAAGTGTCTCTTAGTGCAGCACGAAGAGCAGGTGAGCTGGTGCCTGACGGTCCCCCTTTTCTTGTTCTTGGGTACCATGCCGAGCTGGATGTTGAACGTGTCGTCAACAGGTGACTTCCCCTCTTGCTCCCTAATTCCGAATGGATCTCATGGCTCCTTGGGCATTCGTTCTGGGGTTCTGCTGCACACTGTGAAGTGCAGTTCTCATCACATTGCATTGATGTCCGTCCCCCTTCCAATAGCTTTGCAGCAGCTGCCAGCTTAGCCACACTTTCAGTTGAGAGCACACAAGCCTTCACGCATCCAACGGCGCTTCAGGTTTTCCTCCTCGCCCTTGTGTGGCTGCTGCCCTGCCAGGCCCGGCTGCTTATGGCTGCCTGAACACCTCGTGCTGTGCTGCCCTTGGATTTTTCCCCATGTTGTTATCCTTACCATCCCTGTCAACACCCTCTGCGTTCTAGGGTCAGCTCATCTTCTGCCCCCTCCAAGAGTAATTTTAAAAACTCTGTTCTCTTGTGGCACTGGCATTATCTCCGTGGGAGCCAGTAGGGCCCCGGAGCAGAGGGGCCAGATAAAGGCTGCAGATCAGATACTGATAACACTTGAAGGGTTCCAAAGATTTTGCAAAGATGCTCTTCCATATACTTTGATATGCAGTGATTGTTGCAGTGTTGCTGGCGAGAAAACATGATGGGGAGTTTTTGCCAAAAGCTCATTCATTCTTAGGGAGCCAAAAGTCAAACCTCGGTCTTCAGCCACTGGCCGAATGATTGCCGTTGCATATTCTGGAACGGGAAGAAAGTCACTGGGACATTGATAGGGATGGAATCTTGCACATGGATTTAGGAGTAGGAGTCCAGTGTCTGGGGAAGAAACTGGAGGAAGAAGTAAATGCCTGTCACTCAAGTCCCTGAGGTACCCTGGAAAGGCTACTCTCAGTCCTGGGATTTTTGTCCTCTTGTCTTGCAGATCTTAGGGATGACCTGCGCTTCCTGTGTCCACAACATAGAGTCCAAGCTCACGAGGACAAATGGCATCACTTACGCCTCTGTGGCTCTCGCCACCAACAAAGCCCACGTGAAGTTTGATCCCGAAATCATTGGACCACGGGATATCATCAAGATTATTGAGGTAGTCTGTTCCTGAAAACTGTGTGTCCACTTTACAAAGGAGTGGTATATAATGGCCGGAGGAAGGTAGCTAAGCGGAATTAAAGGGTCTGCTAAAAGCTATTGACTTTTCCAGAGAGTAGTACGGTTGCTTAATTAATTGAAGAAGGTTAGTTAATTGCAGGTTGTGTGAGCAGATTGTGAGTCAGTGGTAAGAGATGAGGCTGGCAAGGGGCTCACAGCTGGAAGTGCTCACTGTGCAAGCCTGACGGACGACTCAAGTTCCATCCTGAAACCCCGTGGTCGGTCGGTCGGCAAGAACTGACTCCCCAGGGCTGTTAGCCCTGGCTTCCACACATGTGGGCATACATAAGCTCATACTTTTTTTTTTTTTTTTAAGAAAGAGATGAGGGCTGGAGAGATGGCTCAGAGGTTAAGAGCACTGACTGCTCTTCCAGAGGTCCTGAGTTCAATTTCCAGCAACCACATGGTGGCTTACAGCTATCTATAATGAGACCTGGCACCCCCTTCTGGCTTGCAGGCACACGTGGAAGGAATGCTATACACATAATATAATAAATAAATAAATAAAAATAAAATAAAATAGTTTAAAAAAGAGAAAGAGATGAGAGGAAAGAGACATTACTTTTAGTTTTAAATATTTCCTGAAGATCATCAGTCTGGACCTGGTGTGGAGAGTTAAGCTGCCTAACCTATTTACAAATACTGTTTCTATCTGTGCCAGGTGTGTGCAGACTCAGGGAATGATGGCACCACACAGATAATTCCATACTCACCTCCTTGCTAGGCTTGCAGGGGAACATGGTCATCTTTGCATTAGGAACAGAGGGTTCATGACTGTCCTTCCTCTAGCTCCCTGTGTCTGTCCACAGACCTCCCATTTCCTCCTTCTGGTCGGTATTCTCCAGACTTGAGAGAATGGCCATCCACGGTGACTGGAATGGGTTAAGACAGTCCAAACTAGTAAGAGTAACTGTAGCAGTCAGGGGTAAGGGTTAATTACTTAGCGAAACTGACTGCTTATGAAATGTTATCCTTAATTGTTTCTTCCATGTGTATAGCGAGAGATGCTTGTTGTGTGGCCCAGCAGAGCTTGTGGCTATGGAAATGCTGCTCTTGTTTTTATACAAGTAGGTTAACTAGCTTCACAACTAAGTGAGGATAGAGCCCCAGAGGAGTTAGGTTCTTGCTCACCAATGCCCAGCTCACAGGAGACAAGATGGCACTGCCAGCTCAGATCCCATTCTACGGTAACCCAAATCTGAGAGAATATTGTTCACATGTCACTCATGGGGCTAAGGAGTCGCCGTGATGCAATAAACAGGAAGAGTTCCCAGTGGGAGTCTTCAAACACATCTCACTTCCCCTTTGACTTCTAATACCCTTAGCTGCCTCCACCCTGCTCAGTGATTTAGTGTAGCCTCCTGGACCTTGGTCCGTAGTGGAGAAATATTGGAAGATTGCCTGGCTTCCAGGCTCGTGACTCTGGGGCATCTTGTCCTGATACAGCTAGACTGGGATTAGTTACGAGAGTATTTGTCTTGTGTTGCCTCGACTGCCTTTCCACCGTGACTTTTCATTTTGGAGCTGCTCAGCGCCAGCATTCTGGGCCCTCTCTGTTTGGTGAGAAGGCGTCTTGTGGCAGCTTTCCTGTGCGTATTCACAAGGAGCAGCAGAGATGTAGTGTTTGGTGAAGAGCTTGGAGAAAGCACAGGGCTGAGGCATAGTCTGTCAGGACATCGGAAAAGCCACTCTTCAAGTAGAGAGGTCCTGAACACAGTAGGAAGTTGCTCAGAAGCCTAGAGCCCCACCCTCTGCACCAGTATTTTAGTATACTTCTTCTCTCTGGCCCTCACTTTCCTCTTGCATAGGCGAAGTGCCAGGCCACAAGACACCTGGAATTCTAACTTGAGAGTCTTTTGAAGTCAACCCTGGTCAGCGTTGGGACCCATTGAAGTTAGTGTGACAGTACCAACTGCCTTCACTCACAGTAGGGAGAGGCATGGCCATTCAGCGCCATGTCCGCGGGGTGGTACCGTCTCAGCATGGAGAGTACTGAACCTCTCTCTGAAACAGGTTTGGCAGCCATTTGGGACAAAGAGGTCATGAGAGGAAAACCTTAGGTCACCAGGGGAACTCTGAGATTTTAACTTCCGGGGCTGGAAATGCTTCCCACTTGTGCCTGTTTTAACCGCCGTCTTTCTCCTTGCTCCCCACCCGTCTCTTTCAATCACAAGGAAACCGGCTTTCATGCGTCCTTGGCCCAGAGACATCCCAGCGCTCATCACTTGGACCACAAGGTGGAAATAAAACAGTAGGTAGAAAGCAGAAGGTGAAGGGTAGCCCTGACTAAGCCTCCACCCTCCTCTGTCCCCTGACTCTGGCTGATGCAGATGTGGTCATGCTCGACTGTGGCCCAGCCACCCCAGCTTCCTGGGTTCATTGCCCTTACCCCTTGGGGTGGCATCAGCTGGGAGCATGCTGTCTGTAGAAGTGTCTGGCTGTTGGCAGCCTCTGTGTCTGTACCGCCTAGCTTGATAGTGTTCTTTAAATGTGCTAGTACGAGTGTAGAACTGAGGTTTTCTTTCTTTTTAAGTTTCACTAATTTTAATTTTAAGTTAACTAAATAGTCACCTGTAGCTGGTGGATGACATGCTAGATGTACTTTAGCTGGGATAGAGGGAGGGGAAGGTTGGCTTTTTCTTTTATAATCTGTTTAGGCTTGATTTGCATAAGTTCTAGAAGTAGGATCTGAAGACAGTCCTCAAAGCTAAGTGGAAAGGAAAGAGCCGGTGCAGGGAAGGGCACCTAGCCCAGTGATGGAGTGTATGCTTAGCATGCACTAGGCCCCGAATCTCCATCCCAAAGTGGGGGTGGGGTGGGGTGGGTGGCCTAGGATGCAGATATAGGTTCATTCATAGTTTCAGATGGTTGCTTAGTCTTTTGACACACTTGAAGGCTGCTGTTGTATGTAGCACAGTACCTCAGAGTGACTCCTTTCCTTGTGAACTATGACATCAGTGACTTAGGCAGATTCTGGAAGGTCCAGGAACCAGGAGATCCAGGATTTGCAACCCAGAGGAGTGTGTTAAGCTAAAGGAAGCATCAGGGAGTGAGGTTCCTTCTGGGGCTTTTGGAGTGCCTGCAGCATGGTCCAGTCGGCTTACCCAGGGTGCAGGGGGGTTGGCAGGTGAGAGTTTGGGAAGCTAGTGGGTCTGCCTCTTGGATGGCCTCAGGCAGCAGCCTGAGCGCGCAGGATTGCAGGAGCTACATTAGGATACGGAACTTAAAAGAACCTTAAGTGAAGGATCCGTATGGCCTGTTTGGGATTTCATGCATGATGTAGCTCACATGAAGCCCAGATCTCATCTGTGATTCTCGGTTCTAAACTTTTGTGTTTACTGACAGCCTCACTAATCTTATACTCTTATTTTAAGTAGTTATTAAAAATTGAATGTGTAACTAAGCTTATACTATACTAATAAAATACTGTTCATCCATTTCTTGCTTTGAGGGGAATCTGCATAAGACAACAGCGAGAACACTAAGCTGCTGTAGGCTAGGGTGGTAACCTCTTTGGAGATAGTTCTCGTCTTCTAGTCCTCAGTTGCTGCACCTATAAATTGGTGGTCACATTCCAGTTTATGCAAAGGCAGAGCTAAGCCCAAAGATCTTTAGATTGACGACTGTGTCGGGGTGAGCCTCACTTTTGGTTTACTCCATCTTAGATCTAACCTGATCTCAGTTCTGATGTGTCCGTGTTGCTGATTTTGCCTTCCAGGTGGAAGAAATCTTTCCTGTGTAGCCTGGTGTTTGGCATCCCTGTCATGGGCTTGATGATCTACATGTTAATCCCCAGCAATAAGCCCCATGAGACGATGGTCCTGGACCACAACATCATTCCAGGACTGTCCATTCTAAATCTCATCTTCTTCATCTTGTGTACCTTTGTCCAAGTACGTATTGGAAAGCTGGGCAAACCTCTGCCCCTTGTGCCCAGGCATGGCTAGGGGATCTCTGCCCTTCAACTGTGTCAGCAGCCCTTTGGTTCCGGTGGTACTTCACTGCAACTTTGCTGCCTCCCCTCTGGGTAGCTGCTGCTCTTATGTCTGTCTTATGACCTGCAGGGAGGGTTGCAAATGTGGGAACTAAGAAATGTGCCTGGCTTCACTGACAGCCTCACAGTCACTTCTTTGTAAGCGATTGAAACTTGTTAGAACAACCACGCTCTCCTTGTAAGCTTAGTGAGCCTGTGTCTGTTCCTGGTGTGTGTGTGTGTGTGTGTGTGTGTGTGTGTGTGTGTGTGTGTATGTGTGTTACCAGTAGCAAGACTCAGGATCTCATACATGCTAGGCCAAGCGTGCCATCATTCAGTCACCCCTCAAGTCCCCAATGCCCTGATTTGCTTATTATTTAATCTAGTTTACCTTAGTTGTTAGGATTATTAGATGAATGTCCCTGGAGCTCATGCTTCTCTTGAATGTTCTATCCTGAAAGGCAAAGCCATGGTCTTCAGCTTTGGGTAACAGGCAGGCTCTGAAGAACATCTGTGTATGCAGGCATGTATATACATAGAGAATGTCTGCATGGGAACATTTTGACATATAAAACTAGGATTATTTAGGGGTAACCATCTGTAGGCTGAATTATTTTCCTATATTTTCTTTTTAATTGCAAATCCGCTTTGATTTATCCTAAGTAATTTCAGCAGTACGGAAGCAAAGGGAAAGGTGTTCTGACTAATAATTACGCACTCCTCTGGCCCAGTCCTGTTCTCTAGTATTGCTGCTGTATCTTCAGGAGTTAGGCATGTATCGCTCCGATATCTCACAAAGAGAGCAAATGTGTGTGTGCGCGGGCATGTGTGTTTATGCTTGTATGTATGTATGCAAGTTTAGCCTACACAGACACAGATGTTTTTTAATGGAAGTGGGGTTATGTTGAACACTAACGGATGCTGTCTCTTTTATTTGTGTCATGGACATATGCCATTGATGTACCTTCTCTCTAGAGACCATTTTCAGTAGAAGTGAGCCATCATCATCGTCGTTACCATTCTCTTATTATGGACATTTGCACGCAGGCCTGCATTTTAAAGGCCTCATGTCCTTAAGGGCTCATCCACTTCTGTGGCCAGTAGCGTTCTGACCAGAAAATATGCTTCATCGGAGGCTGAGGCAGAGCGTGTGTCATCAGGAACAAATAACCACTGAGAACAGAGTGATACCAGATACTCACATGCACCTAGAATCCTCATCATCCCGCGGGCTCCTGGGCCTCCTCCTCTTTGTCTGACCCTTGCCCTCCCTGTCTTTCAGTTCTTTGGTGGGTGGTACTTCTATGTTCAAGCCTACAAATCCTTGAGACACAAGTCAGCCAACATGGATGTGCTCATCGTACTGGCCACGACCATTGCCTACGCCTACTCCCTGGTCATCCTGGTGGTTGCCATCGCTGAGAAGGCTGAGAAGAGCCCTGTGACATTCTTTGACACACCCCCCATGCTCTTCGTGTTCATCGCCCTTGGTCGGTGGCTGGAACACGTGGCAAAGGTAGCTACCACTAGCTACAGGTTAACAAAAGGCACCATTCCTTCCAGTAATCTGAATCTCTGTCCATTGGCAGCCTGCGCTGAGACCCACCAATTATACAGGCTGTAGAGAATGACCAAGGAATCTGACCCCCTATGTAATTAGGGCTGTAGTCACTAATCTCCCAGTTGCTTGTTCCTTCTGGAATCCCCGCTAATCTGGCTAATTAGTAAAACCTTTGTTCGGGTGATTGCACAGCGGAGCAAACTTTGAACTTTATGCCTGAGCTCACATGGTCTCTTAGTGCCTAATGGATTGTAGTCCGTGTAGAAACGCACACCTCCACCTCAGGCTTGGGTGATGTCTAACACTTTACACCGAGCCCAGCATTGGAACGGAGCCTGTAAAAGAAGGGGAAGAAAATTATTTTGAGGGTGAAAGAAAACGGCCTTCGGGGAGACTGGAATTGTTTTAATCTGAAGTGGAATTCTAAGGTCTTCTTAGGCAGCACCGGCCTGGGCTTCCCTTGTGGCACTGGCATGCGTGGCTGCCTTGGTGGTTAGTGGTGGCTGTGTGTTTTGCACCAGCCACCTTTGACACCGTGCTTGTGAGTGTCAGCCTGGGTTTGGGCAGTCAGCTCTGAGTTTGCATTCCGATTATTTCCTAGAGCAAAACCTCAGAAGCCCTGGCAAAACTCATGTCACTCCAAGCCACAGAAGCCACAGTCGTGACCCTTGGTGAGGACAACTTAATCCTCAGGTGGGTGTGTCCATCAATAGAGTTTGTGATCTTTCCATATCATCTTTGTAGTTCACAGCAAGTGTCCATCTTGAAGTTAATGATGTGCAGGCCACTGTAGTCATTCCCTTGAGGTGCTGTCCTAAGCTTGCATTGGCTGCTGGAGCTTCTCCACATTCTGACCGGTGGCCTTTCTAAAGGCCTGCGTTGTACCGGTCCGTCTGTACTGCTGTGTGCTGGAATCCTTCAGCGACTCCCTGCTTTCTTAGGGTAAAGTCTCTAGCCCTTAGCATGACGGTGGAAATCTGCTTTCAACTGCGCACTCTCCTGTCAAGCTCAGCCCCTTTCCATCGCTCATTGCAAAGCAGGTATAGCCATCCCCCCAGCATAAATGAAATTTGGTTCTAGGACCCTCAGATGCCAAGTCACCCCATGCTTAAGCTCCTCCTCTGAAATGGAATAGTATTTGTATAGAATTTCACATCTCTCCACATGCTTTAAATCATCCCTAGAATAATTATGATACATTTACAATGCAATTACTATGTAAATAGGTATTATACTGTATTGTTTAGAGAACAATAATGCAAACATATGTGAATGTTGAGGTCCTCTCCGTGTGTGTGTGTGTGTGTATGTGTGTGTGTGTGTATGAGAGAGAGAGAGAGAGAGAGAGAGAGAGAGAGAGAGAGAGAGATATTTTGTTGGAGATGGGACCCAGGGCCTCTTACATGCTGAGCAAGTGCTGAACCACCAAGCTACATCCCAATCCCTTTCCTGAATATTTTTGATGCAAGATTGATTGTGTCTGCTAATTTAGAACTCTCAGATACATAGGGTTTAGCTATAAAAAAGTTCAGTAGTCAGTCTAGGACCCGGCCTGATTACAGACCAGGAGGATGTTATCTGGATGTCTTCTGTTGCAGAGAGGAGCAAGTGCCCATGGAGCTGGTGCAGCGAGGTGATATCATCAAGGTTGTCCCCGGGGGCAAGTTCCCAGTGGATGGGAAAGTCTTGGAAGGCAATACCATGGCCGATGAGTCCCTCATCACAGGTTAGGCGGTTTGCTTTATGTTCCCTTCAGTGGGGTCTTGGTTGTCACTGGTGCACGTGACACAGAGTGGGCTGTCTTCTCTTCTAGGAGAGGCCATGCCTGTCACTAAGAAGCCCGGCAGCGTAGTGATCGCTGGCTCTATAAATGCTCACGGCTCAGTGCTCATTAAAGCCACCCACGTGGGCAACGACACTACGTTGGCTCAGATTGTGAAGCTGGTGGAAGAGGCTCAGATGTCAAAGGTAGTGATGAAACTTAAAACAAGTGATGAAACCCCTGCTTTGAGAAACGGTCACAGCCTAGCATACCAGAGGCCCCGGGGTCCATCTCCAGCACTGACTAAAAACTAAAATAGAATGGTAGGGCCACACGGACCTTACATCCCTAGCTAGTCCAGAGATGGAAGCTGGAAGATCAGGACTTCACGCTCATTCTTGGCCTGGGCCAGCTCCAGACCACCTGGGCTACATTATATCCTGCCTCCAGACAAAGAAACGTGAGGAATAATCTCAAGGTTCATAGGAGTACCCATCAGTTACGGAGCAGATGATTCCTAAGCGGGAATGGAGGGAGCTTGGACCCAACCCTACTCTTGTCTGTCTTGGTGGGTTGTAACTTTCTGTGGTCTTCATGCTTTATTTTCGTAGGCACCCATTCAGCAGCTGGCTGACCGGTTTAGTGGATATTTTGTCCCATTTATCATCATCATTTCAACCTTAACATTGGTGGTGTGGATTGTCATCGGTTTTGTCGATTTTGGTGTTGTTCAGAAGTACTTCCCTGTAAGTCGGGTGCCTTGGACAAGATGGTTGCCATGCTTTAAGTAACTGACTACCATTGACCCTATTCTCTGTGTCTCGGATTCACTGGGCTTTATTATCCATTATGTTTTATTTGCTTCTTTCACCTATTGGCAGCAAAGTCTATGTCATAGTAGGGTAATCAGTCTACTTGTGAAGATCTTTAGTGAGGGTGCTCACTGAAGGTCAGGGCTCTCACTCAGCGGCAGAGCACTCACTCAGTTTGTGCAAGGCCCTGGGTTCCATCGTTGGCACGGATACACACACAAATGCACTTTGCTATCTACTCAGAGATAATATTCATCATTTGGCTCCCAGTTGGAGTGCTTCAGGAATTTATTGGCCATTATAAGACATACGTTATAGAAAATAGACCACAATTTTGATGACATGCTATGCTAGATCTTAGGGGAAAATATGTTTTTTGATCCCTCTGTCTACGAACACCAGCTTTAGTATCTTGCCTTCCCAAGCAGTGGTGCTTCTTGTGTTACTATACTACTTAAAGGCTACATGTCATTATAGACAAGGCTTTCTCATAATTAAACAGTTATTTAACAACAGAGTAAGGGGAGATACATTTTCTAACTTTAAGAAGTAGGTGAAGAACACTATCTTAGGAAATACTGTTTTATCAAACGTCAAAAACAAATGGAAAATACAATGTATCCTCAGAAAAATGTATGTGCTTAAGAAACAAGAGCGGACATGAGTGGTGTCTAAAGACATCGTGGTTTTTATGACTGTGGTTTTATGAACTGATACCTGGAGGCCACAGTTGAGAGGCCAGCAGTGCCAGGCCTGAACAGCTAATGACCCATCAGTGCCAGCAGTGAGTGGAGCATCGTCTCGTCTTATCTCATGCCAGGGCTTATTTTAGCTTAGAGTAACAGAGTAAAGAACTAAAGACAGAACCTGTTTCTTCTTTTAAAATAGTTTCTGCCCGCAGGTAAAGGTATATCAGACACGGTGCACACTGTTTGCTGAGATGCCGTTTTCTCCCTCGGTGTTTGTATGTTAAGCTGAGAAAGTCTTAGTTGAGTCCTTTGTGGCATCTAAGCAGCCCCCTGATGCTCAAAAGAGTGACCCATGAATAAGCGTGTTCCTAGGATCGCCAGCGGCAGCGCCCAGCCTGACGGTCAGGGGTTCCCTTTTCGGGAAGTTGAGAACATGTGGCTCTCTGCTGCTCCATGCTTTGCCCTCTTACTCTGATTCTTTTGTTTCCATTTCTAAATCAGGGTGTGCGTTAACAACTGGGGCACTGCCTGTTTCTTTCAGATACTCTCGTCACTGCGGCAAGAGCGTCATTTGTAGGGAGGGTTCATGGTAGTTCCCGAAGTTTATCAGTGCTGCTAAAATGTCAAGTGTCATTTTAGTAAGAATGACAGTTAAAAGGATCACATTGTCTTTATCTCTTAAAAATCCCATCTTTGTTAAGTAGCATGCCCTTTTACACGAATACAGTGGCTTCTATGAATATTAAATAACTCTTACAGTATACCTTATTTTAAAATCGTGCCTTTTAAAATGGAAGGATAAAGACTGTGAAGAAGTTGAGATTCCTAATCTCATTTCAGAAAACACACTTTTTATTGTGATTAGTGAGTGTAGTGGTTCTTAGAATAGTGTCCCACAGCCGTAACCAGCAGCAAGATGAGTGGAGATCCCAGACAGCCAGTACTGTTTCACCGTGTGCCACCACACCGTAAAGCAGACCTCTGTGTTGTTTTCTTTGGGTGATGAAACAGGCATAGAAGAACAAAAGCTGTTACTACAAGTGCCCCTAGTGCCCCCAGTGCCCCCAGTGCCCCAGTGCCCCCAGTGCTACCCTTTGCGCTTTCTGTGGTTGATGCGTTAGGCAGAAGATTTAATAGCACGAATAAAGCCATAGCATGTTTCCTTATGCTGCCTTTTAAATCTCACTGTCTCACTGCTTTCTTTCCGCCTTAGTGCATGTAGCTTCATCTTCCGGTCAGTTGCCTAGTCTGTAGCTTAGCTGACCAGTTAGTTCCCTTTTGGTTGTCCCCAGGTTTTGCTATAATGGGAAGAAAACAGTGATAGATATCCTTGCATCATCTGAACATAGATTCTTTGGAGAGCTGTTGAAGCTTTCATAATAATGAAACCCAAAACTATGAGGGTTGTAATTTCTAACATGGCCGTGCCAGTGCTGTTCTGTGCAGATGTCTGTTTGTGTGCATTTGCCTCATTTACAAGCACAAAGCACTTCTGAGATTCTTTAATCACCATTTTATACCCGGGGAAGCTGAGGCAGAGAGGGGTGAAGTTAACAGTAGTGCCGGGCGTATGACCTCCGTGGTCTGACTTCTGAGCTTGTGCTCCATCAGAGTCTACATGACTCTGCCCCTGTCCCACCTTGCCTCTTTGAGGGAAGCTATAGGAAGAAGTTGGGGAAGTAGGAAGTGGGGCAGGGAGGTCAGCTCTGATACTGAAGCTGCACAGAATACGGGCACGTTCCCTAAACAAGCTCACTGCGTTCTCAGTTCCCACTGCCCCGCTGTGACAGTCTTGGTGCTCAACTCCTCCCTGAATGCCCCATCTGATGTTTCTCCCCTCTGCAGAACCCGAGCAAGCATATCTCGCAGACAGAGGTGATCATCCGTTTCGCCTTCCAGACGTCCATCACGGTGCTGTGCATCGCCTGCCCCTGCTCCTTGGGGCTGGCCACACCCACAGCCGTTATGGTGGGCACCGGGGTGGCGGCCCAGAATGGCGTCCTGATCAAAGGAGGCAAGCCTCTGGAGATGGCACACAAGGTGAGCCCTGCCAGGTTCTCTGTGGGAACTTGGATAACAGTTTTTTCTTATAAAATAGTAACTCTTTACTGTTCTTAAGAGGAAAGCCTGAGGGTAAGTGTTGGTGGCTGGAGCAGGAAGCCATGTCTGCCTGGGAGTAGCAGCAAAACCAGCAGCAGTCAATGGCTGTACAATTCGCTGTTTTGTGGACAGTCATGGACTCCATCTCATGTGGTAGATGGGATTCGTAAGAGACTACATCACGGGGAGGTTAGGTAACCTGCAGCTGTTAACAAAGTTGCCAGCTCACAGGTTCCTGTGACTTGGAAGAGCCACAGTCTATGTTAAGACTCTTCGCTGAGGTTGGTGTGGTGATATGTGCCTGCAGTCCCAGCTCTCAGGAGGCCGAGGCAGAAGGATCATGAGTTCACGTTTTACCTGAGCTGCTTAGTGAGACTGTATCTAAGAAAACCAAAGTCTTCCTTTTGCCCAGCACACCGGTCTGCACTCCTATTTGTCCTCTGCACTGTTTGCTGCACACTTCCTGCAGGCAGGCCCTGCACCAGGCTCTGGCACCAGTCATGGCTCCTAGTTTCCAAGGAGCTTACAGCATAGGGGAAGGACAGGTGTCCCAAGTACTGAGCATTAGGACTACAACTCCATAAGGACACTGGGGCTTGGCCTGTTCAGGGTCCTTAGGTAGTGCTGGTGCTCAGGGAAGTTGAGTAAGAGCTAGCCTGCTGATGTGGTAGCGGGGGTGTTGCAGAAGTAAGTGGGTCCGTGGGGACCATGCAGCTGTGTGGATCATACATGAAGTCTGCTGCGTTTCCCTTCACTGTTCTGACCCTAGCACTCAGTTTCAAAGCACCTGGGGCTGAATAAACTAATGAACAACTAGAAGAAAATCTGAGACAGAATGTGTTGAGGGAGGGCCTAGTTATGAAAGCTTTGAAAGATCACATAGTAGAGTAGATTGCTCCTTCAAGCCACTAGACTGTATGCTGGCAAAGTCAGGGTGGACTAGGGGAGGCAGGGATCTTTGGAGGGAGATGATCAATTAACAGTGTTGAAGGCAGGGAATCCAACAGTGTATGCATCTGCTGCTCTTGGATCATGGATCTGAACAGAGCAACCTGCTGCCCTCTACTGGGTCAAAGGAAAAGTACAGTTAGGTGTACAGACTGGCAATTGTTGCCTGCAGAGTTAGGAAGGTAGCAATAGTTCCCTGCCCAAGGCAAGTTGGAAGAGGCTCTTCCTTAAGACACAGGAACTCTGAAAGCTGCCTCCATGTTAAGTCCTGACATGAAGTTGTTCTTGCAGATAAAGACTGTTATGTTCGACAAAACTGGCACCATCACCCACGGGGTCCCCAGAGTCATGCGGTTCCTGTTGCTTGTGGACACAGCTACACTGTCCCTCAGGAAGGTTCTGGCTGTTGTGGGTACTGCAGAGGCCAGCAGTGAGCACCCCTTGGGCGTGGCAGTCACCAAATACTGCAAAGAGGTATGCGGGCCTTGGCGTTGCGTTGCAGGGCTTTTGCATTGCGTTGCAGGGCCTTGGCATTGAGTTGCCTTCTCTCCCATCAACCTCATCTTCCACACACTTCCCTGCTTAGCTGCCTCGGAGGAGGTCTTCACTTGTGGTAGACAGGGTTTGTAGTGGCTCCTTCATGGCTATTTGTGGAACGAGATGGTAACACTGGACGTAGGACAGAATGAGTGAGAAATGACTCCTCTGCCTTCTGAGGACCTAGGTCTGAGACAGGGGAAGACAGGTACTTCAGTAACTTCTTTATTCGGTGAGGGTGAGGGATCACAAGTGGGGTTAGCTGGGAGGAGCTAGCACACGTGAGCTGAGAAGCCTGATTTGGGGAGTTCAGAGAAGCACTGTACCTCTCCTTCTGCCCTAAAACAGTGGAGTGTATTAGGGGACTATACTGATAGTCTAACTGGCTTGAGCAAAATTTTATCATTGATATATGGGGTGATGTAGGTACCTCAGAAAAACATCAACAAGGGAGAGGGTGTTTGAGAAGTTTTATACTGTGCTTGTCCCTCAGAGGGGACAAGCTGTTTGACCTCTCCCTGTATGGGTCAGGGGGAAGACTTCCTCTTGCTGGCTGTTCTGATGATCTCCATCATTTCCGACCCCTTCCCTGGGTATCACACATGGGGAATGATATGTCTGGCAGCTTCAGAATGGCTTTGTCCCACGCCACTTACCGAGCCCATCGTTGTAGTGTAATCACTTTCTACATGGAAATATCTGTGCGGTGTGAGGTGATTTGACTTTTCCCTTGGATCTGCAGCCTGCCCGTGTCATGAGGTATTCACCTAGGGAGGGTTTAGCTCTTTAACCTGGTTCAGGTTGACAGCCAACCCTGAATCTGATGAGAGAACGCTTGCTGAGCTCATAGTGCATTTCCTTTGCTTTGCCTTTACTTGCTCCTTCCGTCCCTTTTTCTCCTCACTGGCCTCACTCTAGTGTCTGTCCTGCTCTGCTGCCTCCACAGGAACTTGGGACAGAGACCCTGGGATACTGCACAGACTTCCAGGCAGTGCCGGGCTGTGGGATTGGCTGTAAAGTTAGCAACGTGGAAAGCATCCTGGCTCACAGTGATCCGACTGGTGCCCTGAATGGGGTTGGCAACTCTCCCACAGGAAAAGGTATTCCTTGCTTTTGTCCCTCCTGGATCTGGGGGTGGCTGGACCCATCTTGGGTGAAAGCAAAGTCAAGCCAGTCCGTACCAGACCCTCCTGTGCGATTCCCTTCCTGTCGAGATGAAAGGCTCACTGCTGGGCACTCCACGCCTTGCCTACCCCAGGAATGCCTGCTTTTTCTCTTGCCCGCTTTGGTACATCTAAAGTTTTTATGTATTTTGTTTTTGCTGTGTTAGCTTCCAACCTGTGAGCTCGAGTGACCCTCCCTCTTCAGCCTTCCAGGTAGCCGAGACTGTAGGTGTGCGCTACCATCCCGGCTTATGCCTCCAGATTCTGAGGCATATGGAAGGTTGAAGTAGCATAGGACAGAGTTATAGCGACTCATTCCCTGGAATGTCATCTTTCTCACTCCAAACTGATTTTCCTTCCCGTAGCTACTGGGTGATAGTAGCACAACATCTGTTCTTCCTGTCGCTTTCCCAGCTGGGTGCTCTCTGGTGTGATGTGGAGTGTTCAGAGCTGACAGAAAGCCAGGGAAGCGGAAATGGTCTGCTCACACCAGAAAGACACTGCTCAGCGGCAGATGCTGATTTCAGTTTTACTGGTTTTTGTTTGTTTGATTTTTTTTAAGTTTTTTAGACTTATTTATTATTTATATACACAGTACTCTGTCTGCATGTATGCTGCAGGCCAGAAGAGGGCACTAGATCTCATTACAGATCTGGTATGTGAGCTACCGTGTGCTTGCTGAACTTAAGACCTCTGGAAGAACAGTCAGTGCTCTTAACCTCTCTGTGCCATCTCTCCTTGATTTTGTTTAAGGCAAGGTCAAACTGTGTAACCCAGGCTGGTCTTGAACTTCTGGGGTTGTCCTGTCTCACCTTCTGAGTGCTGGGGTTGCAGGCATGCAGCACTGCCTGCACCCTACCTTGTCTGTCTGTCTGTCTGCCTTCCTAACTTCCTTCTTTTATTCCTGTGTGTATATGGTGTATGCACAAGTGTGTACATCTGTGTGTGGTGACGGTAGGACTTGCTTATGTATACGCATACAGAGGAAGCAGGGCTAGGTGTCCTGCTCGACCACTCTCTGCTTTTAGCCCTTGAAGGGTCTCTTGCTGAACCTAGAGCTCCCTGTTGTGAGCTCGGCTGGCAGGAGCTCCCTGTTGTGGGCTAGGCTGGCAGGCCAGTGTTCTTCCTGTCTGATCCCTCCCCTGGTGCTGGGGTTACACACGGGCAGGCTTTGATGTGAGTTCTGGGGATCAAAACTCAGGTTCCCAAGCTTGCACAGCAAGCACATCTAAGCACTGAGCCATCTCCCTTGCCTGCCTCCCCCCACCAACATTTTCCAGATTACATTAAACTGGTAGTGAGTGCTAGAATGCCCCCCAAAATAAATCCTGATTTAGGCGATGTTATTAGATGCCATCCATGTGCTACCTTTTCTTAGTTTCAATCCCTAAGGCGACTTTTCCATTAGAGTATCCAAGGCGGGGCAGTATCTCAGCAGGGTCATATACTGCCAGAGGGTGGCAGATAAAAAGTCACTTGTGCTTTCTGGAGCCGTGGTTTTAGAGCCTGTCATAGAGGCTGGGTGTGCTGCATGCCCTCAGTCACAGGACTTGGGAGATGGGGGCAGGAGTACCAGGAGTATAAAACCAACCTGGACTACATTGTTATGGAAGATCCCAGCCAGCAAGAGTCAAACGTGCACTTAAAGAGACAGGAGAAACTATTTATTTGTGGCCAGAAACCCAAGGTAATGCTTTGGAAAGGTCCAGCCCTGCTTGTGCACATTCTTATAGCTTTGATGAGTCGGGTAATTAGTGGGTGGTCTGTGAGCTCCATGCCCACCAAAGGAATTTCTGTCACCAGCATGTTTATAGAAACAGAACTTGCAGGAATGAGCGTCTCTGCAGATCGGTGTTTTGCAGGCAGCGATAGAAGCATGCAAACATTTGCAAGCAGCAACAGAACAGTTTCTTTCTTAGCACCTAGGTCCTACAGTGAGTCACTTCTTTAGGCAGTCTCTGTACATTTCTGTCTTTCAAAGATGAGGGGAAGAGGCCTGATCTTGTAGGAAGAAATCAGGGGACTCTAGGTGAGACTTTATTCCATTCTGCTTCTTTCTACACAATCATGGTTTCGAGGCCAGCATTTCCATTAGCTTGTCATGACACAGAGCAGTAATTTGATCTTGCTAGATTCATATATGAGTGGTGTGTATGTGTGTGTATACATCCACATAGTCATATCCCCTTATCAATGTAAGACTCTATCTCAAACAATAGTATGTATATGTACCATAGAAACAGACTTACCTGATTTTGTTGATTCACTTTGGGATTATTTTGCCAGAAAATAATCTAGTCAACACATTCTTTGGTCTGACCTAAAACGCCATCCTCTGGCCCCTATAAAAAAAGCATCAGGCCTGGAGAGATGTCTCAGCGTTTAGAACACTTGCTTTTCTCGCAGACGACCCAGGTCCTGTTCCAATACTCACATGGGGGCTCACAACCATCTGTAGCTCCAGTTCTGGGGGATCTGACACCCTCTGACCTCCGTGAGCATCAGGCATGCTCGTGGTGTACATACATACATACATGCAGGCAAAGTACTCTTTCTCATACATTAGATAAGTACAAGCACATCACATGATGTTTAACATGCCGACAGCACTTTCCCACATATAGAAGGCATGAAACACTGCATTTAATTCACATTGGTGTTCTATACTGCGTATCTTTCTGGTCATTCAAGGGGAGTGTCACAAGAGTTATTGTCTATATCTGGGTTTGACTTCATTCACTGTGAAGCTGGCCTTTCCAGGAGTAACCATTGTCTTTTGAATAGGTTCAAGCCTACAGACCTTCTCGGTGCTGATTGGAAACCGGGAATGGATGAAGCGCAATGGTTTGACCATCTCCAGTGACATCAGTGACACCATGACAGACCATGAGATGAAAGGACAGACAGCCATCCTGGTGGCTATTGATGGTAATCTCTGCCTGAGATTAGAACAGCTCTGTAGGAGGCTCCTCTGTCTGCCCCTTCCCCTCCCTCCCTTTCTTTCTTTTCCTTCTTGCCCCCTTCTCTCCTCTTCCTTTTGCTTACCATGGTTTTTCTCCCTTTTTTCTTATCTTGAAAGTCTCCCTTCTGTTACTCTGCTGTGTTTTCCAGGCTTTCTTTCTTTCTTTCTTTTTTTTTTTTTTTTTTGGTTTTTTGAGACAGGGTTTCTCTGTGGTTTTGGAGCCTGTCCTGGAACTAGCTCTTGTAGACCAGGCTGGTTTTTCCATGCTTTCTTGCTCTCTTTTTACTTGCTTACTTCTCTTGAGGCCCCTTCTTTTTAAAAATGGTTTCTTTTAGTTTTGAGATTATAATGTAATTATGTCATCTTCCCTTCCCTTTCCTCCCTCTAAACTCTCCAATATACGCCTCCTTGCTCTCTGTCAAAATCATGGCCTCATTTTCATTCATTGTTAACATATGTGTATGTACTGGCTGGTTTTTTGTGTCAGCTTGGCACAAGCTACCGTCACCACAGAGGAAGGAGCCTCAGTTGAGGAAATGCCTTCATGAGATGCAGCCATAAGGCATTTTCTTAATTAATGATCAATTGGGGAGAGTGTTGGGGAGGTGGTACCATCCCTGGGGTGTTGGTTCTGGTTTCTATAAGAAATCAGGTTGAGCAAGCCATGGGAAGCAAACCAGTAAGCAGCACTCTCCATGGCCTCTGCATCAGCTTCTACCTCCAGGTTCCAGTCCTGCGTGAGTTCCTGTTCTGACTTCCTCCAGTGATGGACTGTGATCTGTATGTAAGTCAAATAATCTCTTTCCTCCTCCTCAACTTGTGTTTTTGGTCATGGTGTTTCATTGCAGCAATAGAAACCCTGACTAAGACAGTGTAAATGTATATAGGTGTATATTTTCAAATACGTAAGTACAGCCAGTTCAGTCTGTACGATGTTTCTTTTATGTATGTTTCCAGGGCTGTTTGGTGTCTCTGCCCTGGGAAGACTGTTTTCTCCCCCTCGCCACTCTCAGTCAAGAGTCGAGGCTTTCCTTTGTCATATCTCCATCTTGATTCAGTGCCTTGATTCTGCTCCTAGAAGTCTTAAATTGCTTCTTGTCATCTTTGCGTCTGTCTAAGGTGACCATTCAGCCACCCATCTCGCTCATCACTACAGACAAAACAGAAATCAGAGGCCTCCCTGCAGAAGCCTTAGTGGACGGAGGCCCCTGCAGCTTCCCCCTGTCTGATTCACGGGTGGGCACAGTGTCTCACGACTGTAGCTGTCTTAGCACTCAGGGTACACCAGGCTGTATGCTGGAGAGATCGGAGCCTACGATTTGTTCACTCTGGTGCTCTTTATTAGAACTAAAACTGGGTTTGAACAAAAAATAGTTTACAACCCTGTATTTTGAATGCTCCAGTCAAATGTGCCTTCCTGCCTCATTTCTACCCCCATAATCCTTGGGCTCTGCAAGCCCTTCTGACAGCTGGGATGAGGAGAGGCTCAGTGCCCTGGTGTATTCCTCTTACTGTGTCACATCGCAGCCTGGAGCTCTAGGAGAAAGCATACTGTACAAACATGTTTTCTGTAGGAAGAGACAACAAAGGACAGCTTTCCGAGGTCAGCTGTTCATCGCTGTAAGCAGCGTTTGTGTATTTCTCATATTTCAATAAGCAAACATACACTAGGTTCTGTTTTTTGTTTTAATTTGCTTTTGTTTTCGATGTCAACATTTAAATGAATGTTTTAGCCATTTGTATTTCATATTTTGAGAATTTTCTATTTAGCTCCCTGTTCTCATTGAGCTAGATGTTTTACTCTGCTCTCCTCCCTTCCTCTCTCCTCCCCTTCAACCCTCTCCCATGGTCCCTATGCTCCCAATTTACTCAGGAGATCTTGTCTTTTTCTACTCCCATGTGGATTAGATCCATGTCTGTCTGTCTTAGGGTTCTCTTTGTTGTCTAGGTTGTCTGGGATTGTGAATTGTAGGCTGCTTTTTTTTTTTTTTTGCTTTATGCCTAAAACTATACATATGACATTTATGTTTTTAGTCTGGGTTACTTCACTCGATATGATGTTTTCTAGATCTATCCATTTTCCTGCAAATTTCAAGATGTCATTTTTTTTCTTCTGTGTAGTACTCCATTGATACACTAGGATCTTATTATGTAAAATGTTCTTGGCAAAGTAATATATGTTCCCAGTGGAAACTATGGACAATCCACAGGGCTTTGGAGGAGGAAGTGAGGTTGTCCCTGCTCCCACCCCTTCAGGAGCCACTGTGTACACTTTGCCATCATTTTCAGGACTAAAAAAAAAAAAAACCAACAGAACCCAGACACATGTGAGGTACTTTGGGGGGATCATTTCCTGTGCACGTGTTGTAAGAAGAGAAGAGAGCCATCATTGCAGTCCCGGCATCACGGTTGCACAGAGCTGCCTGGTCCACTGTTGCTGATTGCGGATGCTTTGTTTCAGGTGTGCTCTGCGGGATGATTGCCATCGCAGATGCCGTTAAACCAGAGGCTGCCCTGGCTATCTACACACTGAAAAGCATGGGCGTGGATGTGGCTCTAATCACAGGGGACAACCGCAAGACAGCCAGAGCCATTGCCACTCAGGTATGACAGCGACCAGACATTCTTTGTCCTTGACAATTATAAACATGCCCACTCATGCAAAATAGATAAGTAAGTAAAATAAAAAAATGAAAGTAATCTAAGTATCTGGTGTAAAAGCACTCTGAGGCAGAGGCAGGTGGACCTCTGTGAGTTTGAGTCCACCCTGATCTATGGGGCAAGTTTTAGGCAGTCACAGCTACATAGAGACTGTGTCTCCAAACCAAACCAAATTAACAAACAATAAGAACAAAACCTATCATTTAAGCATCCTATTATGGGAGTGTTTTTTTCTTTCTTTTTTTTTTTTTTTGGTTCAACCTACTTATGGACTGAGGCGAATGATTTTAGAGACCCCATTTAGTTCTGAGCTTGGGGCACAAGGATTTGTCGCCGGATGGCTCCCCATAAGCCACGGCTCTAGTGTGAATGCCTGAACATTGTACTTCCACCCCTACACCTCCTCCTCCAGCCAGCCGGACATATGCAAAGCCATGAGAATGTCATTGCTGCTAAGGCTCTTCGCTTCTGGTCACCTCTCACCTACAGTAGGCATTGATTTCCTTCCTTTCAGGTCGGCATCAACAAAGTCTTTGCTGAGGTGCTGCCTTCTCACAAGGTGGCCAAGGTTCAGGAACTCCAGAACGAAGGGCAGAAAGTAGCCATGGTGGGAGATGGCGTGAACGACTCCCCAGCCTTGGCCCAGGCCGACGTGGGGATTGCTATCGGGACCGGCACAGACGTCGCCATCGAAGCAGCAGACGTGGTTCTTATCAGAGTGAGCTTGGCTGTGTCCAGGTCATAGGAGGGGCTGGGGTTGGCATGAGTTCATTGTTCAAGCGTGCTCCTCTCCTGTAGAATGACTTACTAGACGTGGTGGCCAGTATTCATCTTTCCAAGAGGACTGTCCGGCGGATCCGGGTCAATCTGGTGCTGGCATTGATTTATAACATGGTTGGAATACCTATTGCCGCAGGTAGGTAGGGGCGGCCCTCACCTCTTACATCACCTTTGGTCTTTCTGCTAAGGCCATGATGAACTTTTGAGTCATCCTTCCCTTGGGTTGACTGGCCAGACACGGTATGGAAAGTCCTGAGGGGGCCTCACAGCTTCCTTCACTCTGGCCCTCTATAGACCGCTGATTAGAGGCCTGGCCATTCCTTTACGGTGACCCTAATCTCTGAAGCTTTATTAAGACACGTGGACTGAGGAATGAGCATCGTGGAGTGTTTTGAGGTGCCTGCGATGCCAGACACACAGCCTATCTTAAAAATGAATCCTGCCCAGACTGTGGTCAGACTCCCACAACTGACCTGGAGAGAGAAAATATTTCTGCTTTGAAACTGCCCTTCCTCTCCTCCCATTCCTCACCCAAAAAAATGAGGAATCAGGCAAAGGACCATTCCAGACACTTCTGCAAGGCTTCATAGGCTGAAAGGACCCGAAAGTTAATGTTTTTTTGTTACATTTTGCATGTGTGTGTGCATTGGTGTGTGTGCGCGCGCGTGTGTGCATGCGCATACGTGTGTGTGCATGTGCATACGTGTGTGTGTGCGTGTGCATACGTGTGTGTGTGCATGTGCATACATGTGTGTGTGCGTGTGCGAGCGTGCGTGTGTGCACATGGGTAATTGATTGAGGTGAGAGGATTCCCTGCCAGAATCAGTTCTCGCATTCCATTTTGTGGTCCTCGGAACTATCTCAGGCCATTGGGCTTGGCAGGAAGTTCCTTCACCCACTAAGCCATCTTGTTAGCCCTGGCCAGAAGTTCTTAAGCACAGCTTTTCTGCCTGTTTCTCTTTTGTGTACAAATGGCTACTGGTGACTTCCATAATAGAAACTATCCAGTCTGCCTCAGCCTCCTGGACCTTGAAGTCAGACAAGGAAGGGTCTTTCTATCTCCAGAGCCCACTCAGGAACTTCATTTCAGTCCCTTCTTAGACTCCTGCGGGGGGATGTCTGGGACCTGGCTTTTGGCCCTCCCAAGAGACCAGGTTGTTATCTTTGTAGACAGGGATTATGACCATCCATAGTGCTTGTCCCTTGTGGGTCCCAACCCCTGAGCTGGTTCCAAACCCCTAGCTTTGGAAGATGGTCTGACCTCGGAAGCTGGTGGGCGTAGTAATCTCCTCACTTCCCCTAGGAGGGCTCTCAGTGTTCCCTGACACTCAGGTGATGCTTGCCCTTTTTTCTGGCAGGTGTCTTCATGCCCATTGGTATCGTCCTGCAGCCGTGGATGGGCTCAGCGGCCATGGCAGCCTCCTCTGTGTCTGTGGTGCTCTCCTCTCTTCAGCTCAAGTGGTGAGTCTTGGGCCTGGAGCGCCGCTGGAGCCACGGCAGGTTCTGCTGTATGTGCTCACAGCGGGTGGGGGCACACAGCCTGCTTCCTTGTTCTCATTCCCCATTATTTAGCCGGGAAAACCATAAACGACCTGAGTGGGTTTCTGCAGTGGCTTCTCAGCACCCTGGACAAGAAACTGACCACTTACCATTGTCATAAGCTGGGCCTTTCTCATATGCTCAGGAGCTGTTTGTATGAACACATGTCAGCACATGATCCTCGTGTATCACCAGTTCTCCTCCTTAACAGAGATGTTCATGGACTAGGGATACCACTCACTAGCAGGGCACCCGTCTAGCATGTGCAAGGCCTGGGTTCAGTCCCTAACACTGCCAGAAAAGTAAGACATTGATTTCCTGATTCATGCATTCATTGAACAAAAGTGCATGACAGCCTACTGTGTGAGGTTGTGACATAAGAAAGTTTCTGGATCAGGTGAACTTGGATGGGAATTCAGGGTCTTTTTCCTTCAAGACCCATGACATTTTGTTACGTGTGTTACTGAAAAATGTTGATTTCACCCGTGAGAAAGAGCCTTATGTCCAGAGTGATTCAAGTACTCTTGCATTCTTGCCTTCCAGCTACAGAAAGCCTGACGTGGAGAGATACGAGGCGCAGGCCCATGGCCGCATGAAGCCTCTGAGTGCATCCCAGGTCAGTGTGCACGTTGGCATGGATGACCGACGGCGGGATTCTCCTAAGGCTACGCCGTGGGACCAGGTCAGCTATGTGAGCCAAGTGTCTCTGTCCTCCTTGACATCAGACAGACTGTCTCGTCATGGTGGCACAGCAGATGACACTGGGGACAAATGGTCCCTGCTTCTGAGTGACAGGGATGAAGAGCAGTGCATCTGAGAGCTCAGGTGGCAGCCCTGGGCAGGCCAAGGTGCTCCTTCTAGGTGAGCCTGCATCTGCTCAATCTGGTTGAGCCGGCAGGGGTAACCCCAACAAGCAGCAGTGTGTGTGTGGGGGTGAAGCTCATCTCGAGCCCCGACCATCCTGCTAGCCTTCCTGCAGTGTGTGAGAACTTTAACCTGGTGTATCTGCAGACACCGGGTAGGACTGCTCTCTCCAAACCCTGCTTGGATTCTAGTATAGGAGAGAAAGCCAGCACTCCTCAGGGCTCTGCCTCCTGGATTTGCATGACTGGCAGTGAAATGGGGAACCCTCAGTACCAAAAGCCTAGCCAAGCGCCCTGGAGGGCGCCCGTCCAGAGCTTTTCCATACTGAGAGCTCTCAGAAAGCTTGGCATTACATAGCACCCATGGGCCATGCAAGCCGAAGGCTCCCTCAGATGTGCCTGCTGCTTTCTGCCTTGTGTAGCTGGCATCTTGATACCAGAATGTGCTTGCCCTCTGTCTTGGGTTAGATGCTCTGGCTCCTTGCATTTTCTGCCTAAATGTGACTCTCCGATTTACACCCCAACCCAAAAGCTTCCCTGCATCCCTCTTTACTCTGAGGAGAGATTTCTGTACCGCTTAGAGCCAGTTCTGCAGATTTGTACATGCTGCTCCCAAACAGCTGGGGGGAAGCCAGAGTCCATTTTTCCGGGGGTCCAGGTCCTTGTCACCCAGGGCATCCTATATGGCCCTGCCATGATCTGTGGTGCTTAAAGCAGTGTCTCTTGGTGGGCATAAGCATAAGGGAACCTTCCTGTCAGCTAGTGAGGTCCCGTGGAGTTTGTCACAAATGCCTACTGTGTGTGCCTAGAGGGAACTGTTCCATCAGAAGAGAGTGTTCTGAGAGAGCTGTCTGCTGCTGAGGAACATCTAATAGAGGGACATGCACAGCTCCCCAGTAAAATGGCTTTGTCATCAATGACTGATTGTGATCAGGTGGCATCAGAAGGCCCTGCTTAACTGAGCTCCTGTATTACCTGGAACAGATTGGCAGAATCAGATTCCTCTCATTGTGACACACACAAAAAATATTGCCTTTATTGAATGTCACTTATTGCCAGGGGCAGTTCTTGCAGATTTAATTGTCTCTTTCCCTACAAAAGTAGCTCAGTAGCTATTGTCTACATTTTAAAAACAAGGAAAGGGATTCAGAGGAGCTCAGTGTCTCCCTAGGAACTCACAGCCAGTGTGCGGTTCGGTTGGCCCTGAAGGTTGCCGCCGTCTTAAATATCAGTGTGCTTGGTGAGAGTAAACTGGACAAAGGTCCTTGTCTCTGGAGGAGCAAATGTGCCAGGACATGTGTTAGTTGTATCAACTTAGAGCGCAGCTGGTCACGAGGTTACTAACCTTCATTTGGATGGTTAGTTTCAGTTTTGCATATGTGTTTTGCGGAGTTTTTTCCTCTAAAGTCCCAAGTTCCGGGATTTGTTGTGCTCTTTGTTTTGAGCCCCTCCACACCGTCCGCCAGAACTCTTCCCACTATTTCCACCCGTTCAATCTACAGCTTTGTTTCGGAATATTTTTGCTTTGGAATAAGGTAATCATTTTCTAAAGATGCTAATTGTGTTGATTTCTTTTTTACACCTGAGAACAGAAGCATCATGTTCACATGTAGACATGAAAATATTTATGTAATTGTACAAATAAATAACTTTTTAGATGTTCAAAGAGTCTGGAATCTTTTCTGACTGGAGAACCGTTTCTTCAAAGTTTCCCATGCAGCGTGAGGGTAACGTTGCATGCTCTCTTCCGGGAGTCGCCGTGGCTTGCTCTGTCTGCATGGGGACCGGTGAGGACTCCTTTGGAGGACAGAGACAGAGAGTAGGACTCTAGCAGTGGAGGCAGGAGGCGGTGGGGACCCAATATTGCCTTGCCCTGGTCAGAACCCATCTCCTGAAGTCTGCTGGCAGCTGCATGAGTGCCATGCACAACTGCTGAGAGACCTTTGCTGAAGTCAGTGCCCCAATGGGTTGACTCACGGACTTTGGCTCCCTCCTGAAGCACATGAAGTGATCAGCGAGGATGTACTTCGGGATCCTTGCTTTGAGAGAGTGGGATAGAAGACAGTGAAAAAAACCAAGACCCGGGGGCTTCTGTTGGGGAAGCGAAGTTCTGCTTGGGGTACCCTAATGATATGATTTGTCACCAAACCCGGACACTATGGAGAGTGGAAAGAGTGTCAGCAGAGATATGCTGGTGACATAATCCTTTACGAAAAGTCCAGGCCTTCCTTTCACCATGTTGTGCTGCATCAGGACCACTAACTAGAGGCTGGTCCTTGGGTGTTCCGGATGCCCTACACTGCTTGATCTCTAGCGCAGCCTAGAGGACTTCTCAGTCTAGGCATGGGGCTTCCCTGTGCCATCCTGAAAGAATGTTGTTGCTGGTTGTAGGGAGGATTTAGCAAGCCCTCTCCCCAAGGCTTCCTCAGGCATCAGACTGAATTCCAGTATCTTCCCATTCTTGGTATTCCTGATAAAGTGAAAACTCTTGATGGATTACCTTTATAATAAATTAAGGATAATTTCAATTTTAATGGCATCTGAAGACTGGCATGTCATAAAATAGATCTCTAAACTGTGTTCTAATTCAGTATGGAACTGGGACTAATAAAGGTGACTTTCACTTTAAGGAAATTCAGGACAGACTAAATTCAACCAATCATATTATTTAAGTAGAAAAAGATTACTTGACTAAAAGATTTGGGGAGATTGGGGACTTTATGGGGGCTAGCATGGTAGATCATTTACCCGCAGGGTCCTCAGTTCAATCTCCGGTACAATTAAAATGAAAAAGGATTTCCAAAAACAAATTCACTACTGTAGTTAAAGTTTCTGCGTTCTAAAAGGTCTATTTGCATGCAACCAGAATTCCACATTTCCCTGGAGCGCATAGCAGGGTAATACAGGGAGCGGCCTGCTGGTTCTCTTTCCCTGCGCAGGCGTGCGTGCTAACTGGTGTGGGACTGATGGAGTAAGAGCTGCTCTGCTTCATTTTCACACTGGGCTGGAGCCCACTGTCTGGGCTCATTCCGTGGCGAGATGTCTGCTGTCTGCCCTTGTCCTTTGTGTGAAGACAATGGAGACAACTGAGATTACAGGATAGAACGTGAGACGGTTAAGTAACTCTGAGAAATCTCAGGGTCGCCTTTCTTCCATTCAAAAAGATGAATAAACAAATGTGAAAGCAAAGATAGGATTGATGGAAATGAAAATTTTTTCTCTGAAGTAGAAATGGCTATTATATTTTCTCAGCATAAATAAAATGGGCCAAGAGGGTGTAACCTGGGTAGAGCTCTTGTCTAATGTGTATGAGACCCCGGTTTGAGCCCAGTGCCAGCCAAGCCCTCTAACTCTGCAATTATTGTGAATGTAGAAATAGAGAAAGTTGGTGGGGAAAGCCACCCCATAACCCACCCTGCTGTGAGGGGGAAAAGCTCAGGAGCAGGATTTTGTAGAGGGACGTCCTTTGTAGGTGCCTCAGGATACAGAAGTGGTGGTTTGCTTTCTGTGGTCCAGCCTTGACCGACTATAACCCCTGAACACATGCAGTGACTGGGAGGGACTGGCTGTGACATGCTACAGGTCCCTTCTTTTTTTTTTTTTTTTTTTTTTTTTGTGCCTCTGGTCCTCACGATGCTCAAAAACGATGTGCACACATTCCATTTTCACTGACAGAGCCACGTGTCTGCATTGTTGAACTAGCCGCCTGGGAGATAGCTGGGTTCACCGACCCCATCACTCTGGCCTCAGAGCTTACAATCCATTATCTCCAGGTGGAAAGCTCTCTCCTGCAAAGGCAGTGGTGGGCCTTCCTATTCGTAATGGTGTCTGTCCCTTGGCAAGACGGTGCAATTGAGACCCACTGGATGTCTCTCTGACCAAACAACATCCCAGTCCAAAGCCAGAACTCAAGTTCTTTTCATTCTTATTTTAAAGCAGCTGGAAATTGATTGATAATGATAATGATGGTGATGAAAAAGGAAAAAGAAAGGACCAGAAGAAGGAGGAAGGAGAAGAGAAAAGAAGGAGGAAGAGGAAGATGAAGGGAGGAGGAAAAAGATGAAGGAAAAAGGAGGAGGGAGGAGGAAGAGGAAGGAGGAAGAAGGAAGAGAAGAAAAGAAAGAGAAGGAGAAGAAGAAAAAAGGAGGAAGAGAAACTGTCAGAGAAGGGGAAGACTATGAAACTCGAGTTCAGCCTTGGCACCCAAGTGCCTCTAAGCTTCAACGTATTTAACATGTTTCTGACATCTGGGGTTCCCAGCTTCCCTGTATCTGTCGACTTTGAGTACATGTTAGGATGATGCCATGGTCATCCTAGCTGCATCTGAGTTTTGTATTGTGCAGGGTGATAAATATGGGTCTACTTGCATTCCTCTGTGTACAACCTTCTAGTTGGAACAGCACTATTTGTTGAAGATGCTGGGTTTCCCCCTCCCCTGTGTACTTCTGGCTTTGTCAAAAATCAAGTGTCCATAGGTGAGAGGACTTATGTCTGAGTCCTCAATTCTATCCCATTGATCGACCTCTCTGCTTTTAAGCCTATACTACGCTCTTTTTATTATTATAGTGTTGTAGCACAACTTCAGATCAGCGGTGTTCTTTTATTATTAAGGTTGTTTCAGCTATCCAGGATATATTTTGGGTTTTCATTATGAAGTTGGGAACTGTTTTTTTTTCTATTTTTGTGAAGAATTGTTTTGGAATTTTGGTGATTGTGTCAAATCTGTAGATTGCTTTTGGTAGAATAATCATTTTCACTATATTAATTCTACTGATTATTGAGCATCTTGCCATCCTCTGGTGTCTTCTTTCATTTCTTCTTCAGTATCTTAAAAGTTTCATTATGCAAATCTTTCCCTTGGTTGTTTACAGTATCACAAGATACTTTTTCCTGGGGGTGGGAGAGTATTGTGAAAGGCATTATTCCCCGATTTCTTTCTCAGTCTCTTTTGTACATAGGAAGGCTACTGGGTTTTGTGTGTTAGTTTTATATTCTGCTACTTTATTGGAGGTGTTTATCAGAACTTTCTAGGTGGAGTTTTTAGGGATTTATGTATTATACATAAGTATACAAATAAATAAAAACATACCATCTGCAGATTAAAAAAAGATACTTTGACTTCTTCCTTTCCTATTTGTAGCCTCTTGATCTCCTTCAGTTGTCTCAGTTAAGACTTCAAGTACTGCATTGAATAGGTATGGAAAGAGTGGACAACCTTGTCTTGTTCCTGATTTTAAAAAATTTTATTTATGTATTATGTATACAATATTCTGTCTGTGTGTGTTTGTGTGTGTGTGTGTGTGTGTGTGTGTGTGTGTCTGCAGACCAGAAGAGGGCAGCCGACCTCATTACAGATGGTTGTGAGTCACCATGTGGTTGCCGGGAATTGAACTCATGACCTTTGGAAGAGCAGGCAATGCTCTTAACCACTGAGCCACCTCTCCAGCCCTTGTTCCTGATTTTAGTGAAATTGCTTTGAGTTTTTTTTGTTTTTGTTTAGTGGATAGGCTTTTTGTATAGTGCCCTTATTATGTTGAGATATGTCCTTGTATCCCTAGTCTCTCCAGGGATGTTGGATTATCATGAAGTGATGTTGGATTTTGTCAAAGGCCTTTCTGTATCTTATGAGATTTACAAGAGGGATTATGTATATCAATTTGCCTTTGTGGAACCATTTCTGCATCTCTGGGATGAAACATACTTGATCATGGTAGATGGTCGTTCATGTGTTGTTGGATTTAGTTTGCTATTATTCTATTGAGAACTTTTGCTTCTATGTTCATAAAGGTCTGTAATTTCATTGTTGTGTCTTTGTGTGGTTTGCATATCATGGTAAAATTGTAAAAAAATTCGGCAATGTTCTTTCAGTTTTGTGGAATAATTTCAGGAGTATTGGCATAATTCTTCTTTGGAGATCCTATAGAATTCTGTGCTGAATCCATTTGGCCCTGGCTATTTTTTTTTTTCTGGTTGGGAGGCTCTTAATGACTGCTTGTGCTTCATTAGAGGTTATAGGTCGGCTCAAATTGCTTACCTGATCTTGATTTAACTTTGGTAGGTCATATATATCAAGAAAATTGTCCATTTCTTTTGAGTTTTCCAGTTGGGTGGAGTACAAAGGATGCCCTTATGATTCTCTTGATTTCATTGGTGTCTGTTGTGATATCCACCTTTTCGCCTTTAATTTTATTAATTTCAATCTTTTCTGTCTTTTGGTTAAGTTGGCTAAGGGTTTATCAATCTTACTGATTTTTTTCTCAACCAGCTATGTTTCATTGAATCTATGTATTTTGTTGTTTCTAATTTATTGATTTCAATCCTGAGTTTATTTCTTGCCATCTACTCCTTTTGGATATTAATTCTTCTTGTTCTAGAGCTTTTAGGTCTACCGTTACGTTACTAATGTGAGAGCTCTTCAGTTTTTTATGTAAGCATTTAGTGCTATGAACTTGCCTCTTAGTACTGTCTTTATTGTGTATAGCTTCGGGAATGTTGTATTTTTGTTTTCACTCAGTTCTAAGAAGTTTTTAAGTTCCTTCTTAATTTTTGTGTTACCCTCTTTTTCATTCAGTAATGAGTTGTTCAGTTTCCATGAGTTTGTGTATTTTTGTTGTTTCTATTATTGTTGATATCCAGCTTTTTCT